CCCAAGAAAGAGAATTGAGATAAACCTTTCTAAAACAGAATCTAATATCTGGAATTGGAATGAAAGCAATTATGGCACATACCATGAAAAAGAAAAAATCAGGGTTTAGAATTAGTAAATAACAAAACACTTCAAATGCCTAAATGTATGGATCAGTTATAAAAAATTTAGGAAATAAAGAAATTGAACATTAAATAGACTGCGTTTGAGGTAGTTTCACACAATACTGCAAGTTGCTACTAAATCAAAACCTTAGCCTAGAAAAGACGAGTCAAGAGCTTAAATAGATTCTTCAGATTGAGGCTTTCATATGGATGTCATTCATGGCGCAAATACGTTCAGAAATGTCAAAACTCTCAGCTGTAAATAAACTCTTTGTCAGTTTCATAATTAATGATAGCGAAATAGCCTCCGAGCTTCAGTATAACTCTGAATTAGGAAATTGTATAACTGCGAAATTAACCTAAGAACAGCATACGATTAGATCAATAGAGACTTCTTTCATCAGGAGTACGACAAAGAGGAAATGAGAATCCCGAATTATTTAATCTCACCATAGACTAGGCCCTGCGAATATACAAGCAGATATGAAGGTATGGACAATGTTTAAGCATATACCATATTTACGAAAAGAAAACAGAGTCCAATGTACTGATGATGACGTGAGGACTATGCAAGTGACATATGTATTAATAGTTGGGATAAGAATGATCTTGAACAAAAAGAACAAAATTCTCTATCAAGTGACCCAAGAAAGAAAATTGGAGATAAACCTTTCTAAAACAGAATCTATTATCTGGAATTGGAATGAAAGCAATTATGGAACATATCATGAAAAAGAAAAACATTTCAGGATGTGGAATTAGTAAATACCAAATACAATAAATGTGTTGGTGTATGGATCAGTCATAACAAATTTAGTATGGGAAAAAAGGAAACTAAATATAGAGCAGGCTGCACTAGGGGTAGTTTCTCACAACACCGCAAGCTGCTGCAGAACCCAAATGTTAACCTTGAGTCAACGAACGGATAAATACATACTTGACCTTAAAACTTCTGGCTTGAGACATGTACGACTCAAAAAAGCTCCCTTAGAATAAGCGTTTACATCTATTTCGACATCATCTTTTAATTTAAAGAAACGAATATTTCTTTTTTTTACAATGATGTTCACCCCGTACAAGGCCCAAGAGCCACTCAAGGTAGAAGGTTACAGTGTAAGAGGAACAATTTATATGGGGAAGATAACGGTTAACCCTAGACTTGATCAAGTTAGAATTATAGCTATCGGGGAAGCATCCTCTTGTGAGTCGGTCCCGCAATGAAGGGGTTCGTGAGAAGAAGCTGTTCGAGTGGAACTTACATTTCCCCATGGCGAGTCTTGGAAGTGAAGTTTAGAACTAGAGGAACTAAGGAATGCAGTCTGTCTGAACACTTTCCATGGAAATAGCGAGAGAACAGCGAGAGGCTTGCGACGCTTCGTCTGTGAGAAATGGGTTGTCTTGTGGGAATTAATTCATTTTACCCCTAAAACAATTGTCCATATTTCCTCCGTTGTCTTCTCGTCTGCCTTGGCTGACTATTTCTGTGAAGGACCCAACCCCTAGCCCAGCCATCAGCTCTACATTAATCGCTAAAAACTACAGTTCAGAAATCAGCTTTCATTTACCTGGAGTTGGGTGTGTTTTTATTTTCACAAGAACTTTCAATCCCATCTGAGACCATCTTCAGGGGGTCTGTGAGTATGTATATGTATTTCTGTGAATTTAAAACATTTCACCCGTTCGGTTCTTTAATGCTTATGCAGCGTTCTAAATTTTAAAGTTCAAAGTTCACATACACTTTTTTTTTTTTTTTACAGCATAACGGAAGTAACTTTTTTATTTTTGCTCATAATATATATATATATATATATATATATATATATATATATATATATATATAGTTTTTTTCTCATAAGCATTTAAGGACTTTCTTGCTATATTCATAGTTGACTTTATTTATTTTGTTCTTTAAATCTACTTATATAAAGATGAGATAGAAAGTACTTGGGAAAATAAAAACTATTCGAAAGCAAATTTTGGTATTTTTCTCACTCAATTTTCTACCAAAAAATTTAATCCGCGGACTTGAAAGGAACACAGCAAAAACTAATAGACATGATATGTCTAAATTACTTAATTACATGTTTGAACATATATATATATATATATATATATATATAAGCAAGTGTAAATGGATATAAATCCGACAGAATGAAGAAATTTTGAAAAACAAACAAAATCCTAAATGTAGTTAAATGAAAGAAATGTCGACGTCTGACGTTTCGGTTTATTAAACCTTTTCAAGACAATATTCATCAAAATACAATTCAGTTCAATATGACAAATACGATGGACATAAAAACACAAGTCTTATTCAGAACAGATAACTGAAAATTTTAAAATGATCAGCCTTCCGTCTAACATGGTCACGCTGTCGTCACATGGGCGACGCTTTCATAACGTATTCCTAAAAGTTTGTGATTATTTTGAAATGAAAAAGAAAATGAAAAGAATTCTATTAGGTTCCAAAATTCTTATGTGTATGCTTGTCGAGCATCAATCTCGCTAAAAAAAAGGGAAATATTAAAAAAACCAGGTCTAGTATTCACCGTGCGTGAGATGGATATTATACCTGCTTCATAAATCCTCCTGAGATTTTTATTATGAAAATATTTTAATACTTTCACGGAATCGAAATCGAATTATGATCTGCTTTAGTTGTGTGTACAACTAAAGCATTGTTAAAATTACCGAGACGAATATCTCGTTTATGTTCGAAAAACACGAGATTTTAAGGACCTACCTGTTTCACCCACATATTTTAGGTCACAATTTTTGCATGATATTTGATAGATGCAAGCATCGGATGTAATATGTTGTCTGCTGGTGCTATTTAATAAACTACGGATAGTCCTAGTAGGTAATATAGTAGTTCTAATTTTAATGCATTTAGATTATGAGATATAGATATATTGAACTGAATTGTATTTTGATGAATATTGTCTTGAAAAAGGTTTAATAAACCGAAACGTCAGACGTCGACATTTCTTTCATTTAACTACATTTAAGGATTTTTGTTTGTTTTTTCAAAATTTCTTCATATATATATATATATATATATATATGTTAAGAAATGGACACGGTCCGACAATTTATTTATTAAAGACATTTTTTTATGTTTAACGTTGTTATTTTATAGATACAAGTATTTAAACCAAATTCTGTTTATGATAAACAGTATTAAAAACATTTACCGGCCTGAATGTCCGAGAAATTTCCATAAAAATATTCGTTCTTTGACATTCGATTCATCCTATACTGAACATCATATATATACGCTGACGTGCCTTATCTATACAAAGAACCAATCAAGACAAGGTCGAATTTACTTATAAACTCAATCTTCCATGAATCTCGTACATTCATAACTGCTCTGGCGTATCGAATGTAATGTTATTTAATACTGTTTATCATAAACAGAGCATTTGCTTAAATACTTGTATCTATATAAAATAACAACGTTAAACATAAAAATATGTCTTTAATAAATAAATTGTCGGACCTTGTCCATTTCTTAACATATGACGTCATTTGTTTACATTCGATACGCCAGAGCAGTTATGAATGTACGAGATTCATGGAAGATTGGAGTTTATAAGCAGTAAATTCGACCTTGTCTACCGATTGGTTCTTTGTAGCCTAGAGGTAAGGCACGTCAGCGTATATGACGGTTCCGTATAGGATGCAGGTTCGAATCCTGTCAAAGAACGAATATTTTCTATGAAAATTTCTCGGACATTCAGGCCGGTAAATGTTATTTAATACTGTTTATCATAAACAGAGCATTTGCTTAAATACTTGTATCTATAAAATAACAACGTTAAACATAAAAAAATGTCTTTAATATATATATATATATATATATATATATATATATATATATATATATATATATAAATGGTGGTACTCATTGGAAAAACTCTCGATAGCTCGAATTGCAGTAGAATATATCGGTACCCGAGGAAAAATGGAGAATAAAAAAAGAAAGAACCAAGAACATTAAAACAAGGTGAAAACAATCGTCAAGTGTTTAAGCTCCAAGTCCAAAGAAAAAAAAACAAAACGAGTAAAAAGACAACTACGTAAAGTCCTCAATACACTAATTAGAGCAAAACCTAAGAAGATCCTAGGGAGCCAGGCAAACTTACCACCATATGGTGAAACTGTCGACTATATTAGTCGACAGTTTCACCATATCTTCCGCATTATTATTATTATTATTATTATTTGTATTTATGAATTATAAGGCTGCTGAGAATACCATGGACCAAGTATGTGAGTAACAACGAAGATTTAGAGAAAATGAAAAGAAAAAGGAAAGTTATAGTTAACATCAAGAAGAGACAGCTGATGTTTCTAAGGTAAATAACGGGGAAAGAGGGCTTGGAAAATCTGATGCGCACAAGACAGTTTGAACGCTAGAGGGGCAGAGGAAAACAAGGCACAGCATACTTAGTGAGCTCAAGTAAATGGATGGCGGAAAAGGGTTAGGATAAGTAAAAGAAAGACAAAATTTATTAAGAGCTATAAGCGACAGGAAGTTGCAGAGAGCAATGAGGCGGGGACGAGGCACAAGAAGAAGAAGAAGAAGAAGAAGAAGAAGAAGAAGAATACTAATACTACTACTACTAATAATAATTTTATACACACTAAAATATCATTTCTCGTTTTATTTAAGAGAGGGGAGCAGTCAGAAAAAAGATAAAGAAAAAGAAATAGAATGAAGGAAAATTAAAACGCTAGGAAGAAGAAAAGAAGATGA